GGAATTGAAATTTAATATACATCTATATAAAAGTAATATGTTATTATAATAATGAAATGGTAAAATTTATAAAAATTATTATGCATTGTTTTAACTTATTTTTAAAATAATATAAAGTATACGAAGCTAAACACTTGCCTCAAAATTTTCCGTAAAATTTCGTATCCTAGTTTGAACAAGCTCCATTTTGAGTGGATCATGTAGACACTTTATTTTTGTATAATAAAACATTTATTTATAACATATACAAGATAAAAACTATTTTAACAATATGGTAAATGCACTGTTATTTACAAACATTTTTCAAAAGTGTATATAAAAAAACCTTTACTATTATTTAATTAAAAATGTAAATTGATTTAGATTAAATTGCTTTATTAAGCATAATAATTTTTGCTATTTTTTCTTAATTTTTTTGTTTTATAATTTATTTGGCTGTTATAAACAAAACAAAAACGATGTTGACATAAAAATTAGCAGACACGATTGCAAAAATGTATTGAATATAAAAATTTAAAAGTAATAGAAAGTAGGTCATATAACAAAAAAATAATTACAAGAGGTGTTAATAAAATACAACAGTAATTTCAATTACAAAACTCAAAACTCATCAAATAAGCTCATTCAATTTATTGAACAATAATACATACAAAAATGATTTTATTTAACATAATTGACTTGCGTTAATATTCGAAAAATAATATATATTTTTTAAGAGTGTGAAAAAAAATAATGTGTACAAAATTTAAATTAATTATTGATTAACAGAGATATAAGTTAATTTGCTGTTTATTTACAGCTTTTACATTGTGCTTCGGCACAACCAATTGCAGCTTAACACTCCAAACAACATAGCTTAACATTTTATTGTGAATGTACAGAACACAGATTGATTTGCTATGTTAAAATGCTTACAGACAATTATTTATGAGTTACATTTTCTAATGCGACAGCAGAATTCAATGCAGCGAAATTAAAAAATTTAATCACAGGTTTGTAGTTTTGTTGTTGCCTTCAATATACACAGTTTTTTATTTATAATCGCTTTAGATATTAGATTTTACATTGAAAAGTTTTTTATAAAAAAAAAATAAACACAGCGTAAAAAACGTTGCGGTCAAAATTAATATGTACAATATGTACATGCAAGTAACGAGTAATGGGTAGGTAGCAATGACTCAGTTGGAAAAATTTAAAAATAAAAAATACACGCTAATAGAAGTACTAATTATTTTAATAAGTTAACAAAATAAGTCAAATCATATGTTTGTTTTGAACACAAATACTAATACGACGGTTTAACAAAATAGAGTTATTTTAAAAATCAAAGAAAATTTTGAATATAGAAATTTAGATATTTAAATGTTCAAAATAAATAATCTAAATAATCATTTAAATAATCTACATAATAAATAACTTAATTACTTGTCTTAGACTATTGTTATTAATAATATATTTAAAAATTTAAGTAAAATAAAAATGTGAAAGCCAAATTTTCTCTTATATTGTATTGAATAAAAAACACAATTTTATATATGTATGTAAATAAAATTTTTTGTGGTCATGTGTTTTCCATATTAATGTATTACATGAAATCTTAGGAATCAACAGTCAAATTAGATTTTAAGAAGCTAGAGAGATTTAAGCAATAAAGTTAAGTATTTAATTAATTGAAAAACATTAGCTCATAATTTATAGCTTTTCAATGACAATTCTCTAATTTTTGAATTATATAATTTAAATACTTATATCATCTGTTATTCTCGTTAACATATTTATATAAGACGTTGTAGTCATATCATCTAACTAAATCCAGTTTAAGAGGCTTAAAACATAGTCTTTTTTAAATTTATATACATTTATAAATTTAAAATTGGAAATATTTTTTTTTTAAATTTCATTTTTAAAATCAAAATATCTAAACTCTCTTGTTTAGGTTCTGAAACACGTAGAGTAGAAAGCTCTTGCGTCTACAGAAGCGGTACGAAAACTCGTTTTTGGCTTAAAGAATTTTAATGGCTGAGTTGTTGTTGTTGCCATAAATGATATCAACTAAGCAAAATGCATTTTAAAAATGTATTTTTATACATAAAAAAAAAAGTAAGTGGCGATTGCAACAAGGCAAGATTTTTTTAATTAATTATTGTATTTACTTTACGTCTTTCTATAGTTTTCATATTTTTTTTTTTGTTTACGTATATATTTATTTTTTTCACTCTTTTGTTTACCAAATTACACGTAAACAAATTTGAAGCACGTAAATTGAGTGAAAGAGGCACAAATTTACTTACCGCACAATAATATCAGCACATCCAAGCCAACTCGATACAGTATTCTTTTATTTGTTTCCATTTTTAATTGGGAGGTACTGTTGTTGTTGTTGTTAATACTATTACCTAAGTGCACTTCAAAATTATTATTGTTTCTATTATTTAACGTTACAGTTGTATCTGAGCTGATATTATTACTTTTATTACCGTTTAAGTTATGATTTTTATTTGTTTGAAGCCCGTTGTCCACGTTTTGATTGCGCGAATGTTGAGACGTTGTGGCGATATTGTTTCTTACGTCCTCACTTAATTGATTTTCGGGCCGACGTAGTGGTGTTGTTTCACTCGCGGACGAATCGTTACTCATTTTGAAGTAGTTGAAAAAAAACGTGCTTGCTGTGAATGGTCTCAGTAAAACAACGTATATGTTAAAAAGCAAATATGTGTATTGAAACGAAACGAAAAAGTTTTCACTTGACGGAAACTTACTCCGAGAATACTAGCATAATTTGAACTGACACTGAACTTGAGCGCAAATGTAGAGAATGTTTCATGAGTATTCAATCAAAAACAAGCAAAAATCAATAATTAAGTTTAAAGTTATTGAGACTAAATTTATATTTGGCAGCTTTTTCGCATTATTATTTTGTTATTATTTAATTGAAATTGTTAAGTTTTTTCTTTTTCATTTAATAATGAATAATATATTCACAAAAAAAAGTTCACTCAACATTGTGGCGGGAACACTCAAAAAGATTTCATATCAAAAGCTTTTGTGAGTTATTTTAATAGAGTTAGAGCACTGACACTTCATTTTTATATGATTTTAAAAACAATAGCACAGGTAATAGTAGCAATTTAGGCAAAATTCAATGTTTTTGGCAACCAGTTATTTTTACTGTAAATAAAAAGAAAAATTAAATTTTTTAATATTATATTTAATATTTAATAAATAAAATGAATTAAAATTGAAAAAGTTATTGTTCAATGGTATTAAAAGTTCAATTGTTATTTATTAAAATATTTATTTTTTTAAATTAAATTTATTAAATTTTATGAAAAAACAAAAAACATTTTATCAGAAGGTCGCATGTGGCATTAATGGTATTTCGCATTGTGGCAGAATGATTCGCCGTCTATACGTCATTATTAAAAATGATTCATTATAAAGGTCAGCTTCGATAAGTTATACTACACTCGTATAGGAAACATTTTTTATGCTTCCAATAACTTAAAAATCCGTATTGTGCGTCATACCAAATTTATTTTATTGTTTCTTTCTTTAAAAATTATGCAAGTAAATTTAAAAGTTTATTTTTTGGAATTGCAAGAAAAAGTGTTAACAGATACATGTATATTATAAAGGCCCATAACCAACTTAATTGTTGAGGATTAAGTTTGGTACATTAATTTCTGTTGCTTGTTACACTTGATGAATTCTGGAAATTGAAAAATTAATCAATGCAATCTAATTTGTTCTGTGTGTAAAATTTACATATAAATTTCTTACTTTCGCTATTTACTGCTTCGTTCTGGCATTACGAATCAAAAAATAACAGAACAAAAATATTGTACATATATTTCATTACCTTTTCCATGGCATCAAGGCATGAGTAAAATTTCAATCCGTTAAATGCAGTAAACTGTGCGAAAACTGTTATAAGAACTAATTTTAATCCCAAACTTTAATTTTATTTTTTAATAAAAATATATGTATAACAGACTATATGTTATTGCCTTTTATGAAACAAAACTTAGCTTTTACAGATTGCAAAAAAAAAAACGTATTGATTGTAATAATTTAATCAATTATGTTTGACTAGTTAGCAAAAAGTTCAACCATTTGATTACTTGATTTTAAATGATGCGAGAGAGTTATTTTAGTTGCGATATAGTTATCCCGTTAGGGACTTTATGTACTTTAAATTAAACCGACAAGAAAATTTGCCTTATAGTGTCTTGAAATAATTTCAATGAAGAAGTCGTATCTTTCATAGTTCTACATATGCTTCCCACTGCGGACCTTTCAAGGGTCCTTCTAGTATGCATATGAACAGCGCTAAGATCTGAGAATATCACATTAGGTATACACACCTAAAATTTAAATATATGTCAATTAAAGTAACATTATTTTTATAATAGTCAGTTTTTGTTTTTTTAAGAATTTTAACTTTTATTTCGATCGTTTTTTTTTGTATATTTCTATAGGTATTTTGGCAAATTCGCTTTTGCCTGCATCAGGAGACTTCCTAATATTACTATATAATGTTATTGTTGTATTGTAATATAGTGTCCGACAAAAAAGTACTAAAACTTAATAACTTGCTAACGATAGTAGGGGACAGAGAGATAGATTAACTTAAGAACCTAAAACACACGGCAATATCTGTGGTGATACTCATGCAGTAATACATAGAACTATATGTTTCTTCTTTCGTTACAGAATACCTATATATGATATATATATTATATTTATATTATAAATTTTTAATACAGTTATACACATGTGTACATATTATAAAAATGTAATTTTGCATTATATATATATAGCATTGAATATGTGTACATAATTGTTTTATCTGTTTAGATAATTTTTTTTTAAACTTTTTTTGCAAATTTTTGCCTTGATGCATTTAAACTTGATTGATTCAATAAGCTTATTTTAAAATCTTTATAAGCCCCTGAGTTATTAAAAAAGGATTAATTTTCATAGGTGAATAACCCATTGATAAATTAACTGCTCTGTAATAACTGAGTAAACATTAATTTGTTATATCATATTTTATTTGAATAATTTATGGCAAAACTTATAAACTTTAGTCATAATTAATTACCCAAACATTACAACTTTAACGACATGCATCTGAATAAGTGGCGCCTGTCAACATAAAAATTTTTTTAAATAATTTTATGAGAAAATAAAATTTTGATGAATGTAATTTATGAGGTGAGCAAAAATATATTTCCCGAATAGATTATAGATTGTAATGACTTTGCTACTTGCGTTTAAGTGGTTTTTATATTCAAATCAGAAACGCACCAATAGGCGCCACTACAATATTATCTCCTCTGCAAGGTTATGCCTGTGATATGCCCATGCTCACAGCATGCCCATTGAGTTCAGGAATTTATAAGTAAGCCATTCTTCTAACAAAATAGGTAGATATCGAAAAAAGGAAGTCTATGCAAAAAACTGTGATTGATAGAAACAAAATAAATAAAGTGTGCAAAAATAGTCAGAGGTAAAGAAAAAGTGTTGCACTTTAAAGAAAGTAATTTATATTTTGTTTTAAATAAAGCATAATTTTAATCAAAAAAGAAGTGAACTTATATTTTATTAACTTATATTAATTATGTATAAGAATATTTAGTAGATAGATTAGCAATCTATTTATATATAATGCTATCTTCAGGTATACAAAATTTGTTGAATATTCCTTATAATTTTAAATACTTATTTGCTGCTTGAAAGGAATAATGAAGACTTCAACACATAAATTTTCATTTCATTAATGATAAAAAGAAATTATACAAATGCATATTTAGAAAATATTTTTATACAATACTCAAAACTAATTATTTTTTTGTTAGACAATGGAATTATTATTCTTTATTACAGCATTAAAAACTCAAAACCGATTATCTCTAGGCTATTAAATCAAATTATTGTAAAATATAGTTTAAAGTACAAAAATTGCTCATTGCATACCTTATATAGTCAGTTCATAGAAATTTTAACAAGATTTCGAAATGCACCACAAACTAACCAGAATGCTTATTTTGTGGCTAGTACAAAAATTGGTAATACAAATGAGCAGAAATTATTAATAATAATAATTTGGACAATGTAAACTCTTATTTATACAAACAAAACCCTAATGATACAAGCAAAAGAATTAAGAAAATTACACTGTAGCTTTGAGTATAAGTTACATTTGAACATTTTCCAGTCTAATAAGTACTTTGGCTTTACCTGAGCTCATTTACCGCTACAACAAGCCGCCGCCTATAGAACTGGCAAGAGTTACTGGCAACGAATAGTGCCACAATATTCGCATGATCAACGTACAGAAAGCAGTTTGCTGCAAGACTATAATTTTCTGGTTTCAGCTTAAGTGGTATGTGTTTGTTGTAAAAAGAACGTGCAACAATCTAAAAATACATAGGCTGCGAACCCAATATTAACTTGCTAGCAGTTGAATTTAAATTTAAAAAATAAGAATTTATAAATAAAAAACGATAAAAAAGAAGCAAGAAGCTGCAAGAAGCAAGAAGCTGTTGGTTTTCAATTTTCAACTCCTCAAAGTCAATGAAAATCGCAGACACGATCAGTGATCAGCAGCTCGTTAATAAGATACTCCTTCTTTAATACGCAATCAGTATTCTTGTTGAGTGCTAAAGTTCAATAATATAAATTGTGATGTTGTCAATTTTTATTAACCGAACTTCAGAATTCGATCTTCATTTTGAGTCATCTTACTTGCCAATACGTCCGCCCGTTGGTTTTTGTTAACAAATATTAAATAAAATTACTATACAAAAAGATGGCAAGAAAAAATTAATAATAAAAATTAATTTATTATGTGCTTAAACCGTCTGTCAATTTATAGCTTAAATTTCGACATATACGTATATAAGCTCATAACTCTTTTAATCAATTCAGTCTTGAAAAATATATTTTCAATAAAAATTTGAAAAGTGCATTTTCGTTTTGGTGAAAAGAGTTACCAAGCGGGTGCATTGCTTATCAATCTTCATAGTTAGACAAGCTGCTTAAACTTTTCAGGTGTGGGGATTTTACTTAATCATTATTTATTAATAAATACATTTTCTACACTTTATTATTATTATTGTCTAATAAAATTGGTATAAAAATATATAAAAGTAATGAATGTTTTCTGTCTAATAACGTTTCTGAAAATTGTTATCTTATCTTATTTTTAAATATTGTAAAATAATTTTAAAGCTGATTAATAAATTTGAGTGTAGGTGCTAAGAAGTATTGATACCCCCTATTATTTCAATTTTTTTTTAATTATGTACTAAAATATTAAGAAATATTGGCCTAGTTTACTTTTGATATCATAAAATAATAGAACTGAATAGTTGCTTTTATTAAAATAACGACGAAAACGGCCAAGTGATTTTCAGCGGCTCTTTGGTTGACCAATTTTCCAACATTAAGAGAGTTTTGCAGTGATCGACGCATATGGTAAACAGATATTGTAAAGCCTGGGGTATACGGTAAATTCATCAAAAGTTATCAAGTTCCAACAACTTCTTCTTAATCTTACTTAATGTATTTTCAGGATAGAACACAACACCTTTATTGTTGTACAATTCTGTTTGCTTTTCCTTGAGTATTTTTTTCAAGCAGTCGAGTTGTGAGCAGTAGAACAATGAATTAGTCTTTGCACCAGGTTAGAGTAGTTCGTAATAGGCAGTTCCCTTCAACCCCAACAAAGACTCAAAGTAACCTTGTTTAGCATAAATTCTGGCTTTGCAGTTAATGGTAGAATATCACCAAGTTTTAACCATGATAGCTTGCTTTGGGTATTACCGTACTAATATTACTGATTAACATAATCAGTTTATATATGTATATATGTAAAATATGCTAAAATTTTAGT